TCTCTCTCTCTCTCTCTCTCACACACACACACACACACACAAACACAGTTGCTGTTTGGGGTTTTATTGGACTGAAGCAAGTACTCATTGCTTCTACATTAGAATACATAATAAAGGCTCTGTTTTAGTTTTGAGGGGTTGTGGTTACAATATACCACAGACTGAGCAACTAACTTAAACACCAAATTTAATTTGGTGTTTTAATTTAATTTTCCACAGAAAATACTCAAATTCTAGGTAAGGTGCCTACTGCATCTACTACATCCTCATCTGAGTTATATATATATTCGTGTATCTATCTGGTCTTTTCCCAGCACAAGCTACACATCAGCTACAAGGAGGGCAAAACTCAATAGCATCATTTTAACTGAATGACCCCTCTGAAGATCTCATCTCCAAATACAACCTTAGGTGGAGGTGCTGGGTTAAGGCTTTAACTTTGGGAGAACACACTTCATTCCATAGCACTCTCCATGAGCATTACACTGAAAGAACATACTTAGCCATCCTGTTCTTGGATGCTGCATCTTGCTTTGTGTTTTTGATGTATTTGATTCTCTTCAAATCAGTGTCTCAACTGTATGATGGTATTCTTTCACTATATAACCCTAACACTTTCTGGAGGTAGCTGATAGAAATTTAAGAGTAGCCAGAGAACACAGTGCCTGACACATGGTAAGCAATGGATGAGTTCCAGATGCTGTAGCATCTCCCTCACCCTCACCATCTCCATGCCATGTTACTGTGCTCACTGAATGTGTTTGTTTTTCTCAATCAAGCAGAGATTTTTATCTTCTTTGTGTTTTTGTCCCCATTGTTCAACAGTCTCCAACATAAAGTTAGTAACTTGATTATTGAATAATTGAGACTATCTTGGTTAATAAATGACAACACCAACTGTGGTTGCTCTGTAAGCCACATACTTGTCATCTTTAATGCTTTAAAAGTAGTGAAATTCAATTACAGTTGCCTCAAGAGTATATCTGAGCTACAAGATCATGGTCAGAGCTGGAAGATCAGGAACTAAAGCCTGAGAGGGACCTTTTCTTTTTTTTTTTTTTTTTTTTTTTTTTTTTTTTTTTGAGACAGAGTTTCTCTGTGGCTTTTGGATGCTGTCCTGGAACTAGCTCTTGTAGACCAGGCTGGTCTCCAACTCACAGAGATCTGCCTGCCTCCGCTTCCCGAGGGCTGGGATTAAAGGCATGCACCACCAACACCCGGCTGAGAGGGACCTTTTCTATCTCCCAGCACACCAGCTTTGCTATGCAGAGTGTATGCTAAAATACTGTGTTTCAGTTTGGTTTGAAGTGGTCATAATTAGAGATGTGTGGACCCAGGGAACTCAGGGAAGATTTTAGAGACAATTGAGTCAGAAATGTAGCTTTTAAAGTTTTATTCACATCAATACATTATGTTTGTACATTTGGAATCTGCTGTTTTTGCTCTTTAAAGTCTTAAAAAGTAAAATATTAACAATAACCAGAGATGAGGTCTATCCTTATTTTTATTTACTTATTATATTTTAGACAAAAATATCGTTATATAGCCTTGGCTGGCCTGGAACTCAATATGTAGAACAGGCTGACCTTGAACTCAGAAATCTGCCTTCCTCTGCCTCCCAAATGCTGGGATTAAAGACATAACCACCATGTCTAGCAAAGTGATTTATATTTGAAAGAGAATATATGACTGGAAAGATGGCTCAGTGCTTTTTTAATTTGCTGCTTTTGGAAAGGACCTAGATTCAGTTGTACACATGGTTTACAACTTCCTGTAACTACAGTTCCAGAGTATCTGACACCCTCTTCTGACCTCTGTTGCTACCATACATGCACATGGTATATATACATGTAGGCTAACACACATGCACATAAAATAAAAATACATAAATCTTTAAAAAGGAAAGAGAACATGATGTTCACTAGGAATGTATAGAGCTACCAAATCAGGCAGCTAATTAAGGGAGTGCATTGTGGTCTTGATCATCTGTTTCTAAATATTATCAGAAAGGGTATTTTCAATGCATGATAAGCCATGACTGTATTGCAAATCAATTATTTCTGAAATACAAAGGATCTGAAAAGTAAGAATTTTGATGCTCCGATTGATTCTAAGGTTTGCTATTCAGCAGAAGCTAAGGCTCTGCTTTAGAAGTATTTCATTTATCCCTTGCTGACATTATAAAGCATAAAAAAATTCTGTAGAATACATGTCCAGGTCATTTTTCCATCCATTGTACTTACTTAATGGTGGGCAGCATGTACCTAGTTAATTTAAAAATTGCATATCTGGTAGTCCAATTAAAAATCAGTTAGCTCTCTTAATTTGTTCAAATTATAACACGGAGAAGTTTTTGGAAGAGACAAAAGGAGAAGATAGAGATTTTAAATAGACAAGAAATTAATTTATAAAGACTTGAGTTTTTATGAAAGAGAACCATTGGAGCCAGTCAAACTGAAAAGGGGTAAAACAACCAAAAAAGGGGGGACTCCTCAAGTTCTAAGAAAACAGGGGTAGAAAGTCAAATAAATACCAGTTAACACAGATTCAGATTTCCTCATCCCTATTAATAAGAAATAGCTAAGCTGCAACAAAGATCACTGTGAAAAAGAGTCCCTTTGATAGTTATGCTATAGAGAACTCAAATCAAACTTATTTTGTGTTGCTTTCTATATTACTCTAGAAAGTTTGTGTGTTTCTAATGTCTTACACAAAAGCACTTTTATGAATTTTGGTATTCTAGAATTGCCAAACGCTTTTGTTATAACATGGAATGTAGTGGTTTTAGAATAGTAAGAACTTAGATATAAGCTTCTAAAAACAAATTTCAATAGTCTTAACTCATCCTTGTAAATCCAGAATTTGAGGTGACTTGGCTTAATATTTTCTACATGTCTAAACTTTTCACCAAAGAAAATGCTTCAAGAATAATTTTCAAGTCCAACTCCCATTTTTGCTTTTTTCAGATTTTTGGCAAAAATATTATATATGCATTTCCAACTAGCCTTTTGCATATTTCTAATATTGTGAACACAGTGCCTGAGAGCAGACTGATTTTTTGATGGTTTAGATACCTATTTTCTTGGGATATATGAATAACATAGTGACAACTTATAACATGTAATTAATCTGAGTTATGGTATGTGGTTTTAAAGTAATAAAAACAAAAACCAAAGTGAGTTCCATTAATAAGGTTGGCTTCCTTCATCAGTCCAAGTTCCTAAAATTTTTTTATGTAATAAACCATCTAAGATTTCTGCTAACAATTATTTTCAACACATGCAATTGAATTTCAAAAAACTGTAAAGATAATTTTCTTGTTCAATATTGTGTTAATAAGGTATTATTTGGCTTTCTCAAAATATATGTGAGTTTGACAACATTACTATATGCCCTGACAATAAACTCTGTTACCTGAATATATTTTAGAACAGCAGATCTATATGCTAATCAAATAATCAGCATCATGTTCAAGTTCAGAAGTTAAAGATTTTTATATTAATAGACTCTTTGACTTTAGATGTACCAAAACATCAAGCTTGAGTAGCCATGAGTCAAAATGTAATTTATAAATTAGTTTTTCTAATATTGTATTTAGTTAAGAAAAATTCTTTTCTATTGGCATTAGCCAAGGAACACACACACACACACACACACACACACACACACACACACGACACACTTAATCTAGATGTTTTTGAGTGCACATTCCTCACTAAATCTCAGGCAGCTGATTTAATTACTGTCACTAACACCTTTATGTCATCTCTTTGTATACATGTCTAATTTATTAGTTTCTTGTAGATTGTCAGCAGCCTGCTGCCTCCGTACCGCCACAGTGCTCACAACTAGCTGGGAGGCAAGACTACCCAGCTGTCAGGTAAATTCACAGGTTCTTCCTTTTCCCACCAGCAGCATGTCAGCTCCCCTTCCCAAGACCATAACTACCTATGCATCTTTATATGTTATTGCATGTTTTTTCATGAATTGGCTACATGACTATATCCTTCTTACTTAAGTCCCTATTCCCTATGAGCATGCATAGGAGTTAGTGCTATGTCATCAACCACTACCTGGTAGAATAAAGGCTATTCATTTCCCCCTTGTGAGCAAATACTTGGGTTATTCCAGTGTTTCTTTGCCTCCAATCTCAAACCTGTAATTGTTAAGCTATTTGAACCACTTTGGGGGTTTTTTGTCCCTCAAATATACATCTTGGGTAAACAGCAAAAATATATGTAATTACATATGAAAAATGTCTAATGTCCATTCTAGGATGCTTTATAAAACAGTTTCCATTTTCTGTCTACTTAGTCCCATTGTTAAAATGAACTGGAAAGACATAGAATGCTATTTGTGGTATATTGTACATATCTGTAACCCCAACACTTTGTAGGCTGTGGTAAGAGGCTGAGTTTGACATCAGCATGAGTTGTATATTGAGTTCAATGCCAGCTTGTGATAAAGAATAACACTGTTTCCAAAATCTATAAAAGAAAGTGAGGATGGGGTTTTAAATGAATTCACCAGACCCAAGATAAATGATAAATAGGTGTTTTATTAGGGAAGAACTCACACAGATAAGAAGTAAATAACCTCCATGGTTGTCCTGCTCTAGAAGATTCAGTCTCTGCCCTCCCAGTGATCTCCACAATTCAAGGGAGCATGCGCCCGCAGCTCCTCTACCTTAAAAGGGTCACGTCTGCACCTGAAACCATGCCCAAAGGGTGTGGCCACTACTACAAGTTCACTGGTAAGGCAAGATGCCACTACAAGAAAGAAAAGGGAAAAAGGAGGGGAAGGGCGAGAGAAAAATTCAAATCTGAATTTTAAAAAATGTAGTGACTATTTTCCCTTTATCTGAAATGAAGTTTTTCAAAGGCATGTTTGTAGACTCCCTAGACACTGAACTGGAGTTTGCTGACAATTCATATTCTAGTTTAAAGTACTCCAAAACAGTTGTGAGTAACCTCCATTCTGAGTGACTCCCCTCAGCCTAGCAGCATCCTTTCAGAACCTTCTCATCTCCATAGTGTACTTCATCCTCCTTATCTGGCTTCTGCTGGGACTAAGCTTCTGGAGTCTGGATATGGGTTTTAGAGTCAGCTTATTAATATACATAATGTATCTCCTGTTCTCCTACCAGAAGAAGGCGTGTATCAAGCAAGAACCAGCCCAAACATAGGTCCGTATGTGTGTCTGAGATGAGCAGCTGTCAGCAGACATATGTGGCTGTGCCATAGGGTAGCTGAGTAGCCACTGATACAGAATCCATACAACCAAAGCTAGGGTGTGATGTGGTCTATTGACCATGTAAGTGGAACACTGTCCCCAGTATTGTGGATTGAACCTAGGGTCTCACATATGTAGAGGCTAAGGCCTCTACTACTGAGCTGCATTGCCAGCCCCCAAAGAACATTGTTAGGTAGTCACTAGACAGTGTCTTCTAATTGATGTCTCTTGGAAGACTGATCATACATTTATCTCAGAAATTTTCTCTATTTTTTAGATTTGTTTTATTTTATATATGAATGTTTTGCTTGCATGTATGTATGTATGTGCACTGCATGCATGCTTGGTGCTTGGAGACATTAGAAGAGGGCATTAGATTTCCTGGAAGCAGAGTTACAGATGGTTATGAAAATCTTGTGGGTGCCAGGAATTGAACCCGGGTCCTCTACAAGAATAACATATGCTCTTAATTACTGAACTGTCTCTCCAGCTCTTCAGAACTGTTCTTTACTAATGTATTGATGACATTTATAAAAATAGCCACTTCTGGATAATTTCAATGATATAAATAACTGAATATTAGTATGAATGTTCAAGTTGATCTGACAGGGATTCCATAATATAGTGATTGGGAACCTGGGGTCTGAACCTATACTCTAGACTCTGCAAATCAGCCTCCTTCAATTGGGGTATTGCCAACACAGTACAGATGCTACATAAAAGTTAACTACATGAGTGGAGTCAGACTTTTGGCCTGTAATCCTACCTCTTACATATCTACATGTGTATGTAATCTTGGAAAGCTGTTTCTGCTGGCTTTGTTCTTTCTTATGAGATAAGGGGGAAAACAGACATTGGGGGAATTCAGTTATGAAGGTTCTGGCCTGTGTACCTAGTCTGCTGTTAGAATTCACACTTCTGTGTACTTCCATTTCTGACCAAAGTCTTGATTATTTTGTGACCAATCCAGTTTGCTTGAGCATAGTTGGAATGCTACTGTTTTAAGAATTTCCATGAGACAGGAATGCAAATGTATTCCTTCTCTTCTGAGGTTACTGAATTTTGGTGCTTCCTGTCCCCGAGGGGGTGATTTACTGAAATAAAAGCACTTTAGTGATATTTGCAGACATTCCTAGTTTCTTCTCTTGCTCACTATAGTACACACAGAGAAATGATTAATGTATAAAGATTTGGAAGGACTCCTCTTCAGGGTGGCTTCTTCTACAAGAGGATCGGAGTCAGTACTGTACTGCCCTCTTACTACTTCTAGGTAGGAAAGGCAATACACAACCAACATTAGAACTAATACTGGGTACCAGACAAGGGTAAGTTCTTCGCGTGTGTTAGTCATTGTGATTCCCCTATAGACTAAGCAGCTATTATACTCTTCTAAATGAAGAAATCAGTGTTAGGCAGACAGAACAACTGAGCAAAGTGGTTTAACACCCATCCCTGTCCACCATGGAGCATAGCTGCACATCAGATAAGGAGCCAGACATTTTACCTACAGATGGCAGAAAGAAAGGTTAAGTTACCTGTACTGACTCAATTTCCTTGAACTGAAAAGTGGATATTTGGTGAAACATGAGAAAAATTACTAGTAATGTTGAGTGATTTCAAATCTGGTGTCTGTTATGATAAATCTTTCCACCAAAAGCCGCCCAAGCCCTACAGCCACTTGGGCGGTCTCCGACAGCTGCCTGAGTCCTGCCCACCGAGTTAGGGCCCCAATTAATGCATAGAGACTTGTATTTGGTACAAACACTGCTTGGCCAATGACTAGGATTCTCATCTATTAGCTCAGTCTTAATTATCATAAATCTATCTATTTTATAAGACTTATCTTATCAGACACCTTCCATTAGTGTCCTGAGTCTCCCTGCTATGTCACTTCCTGCCTGGATCACCACTTCTTTACTACATTTCCCAGAATCCTCTTTGACTCCTAGTCCCATCTAACTTGCTGCCTCATTGGCCAAACAGTACTTTATTCAACAATCAATAAGATGAACATACATAGAAGTACATTCCCCATCAGGTGTCCTCTTTGTTTTTAAAGTTTTTTAAAATTTTCCTTCAGTTTATATGTATATATTTATATAACTAACTTTTTTTTATTAGTTCTGAAAGTCAAATTCAGGGCTGTACAAATATACTACTCACATAACTTTTAAGGTATATGATTTCTTAATAGTGTTCTTACACTGAAAATGTAGAACTTTTCCACATATAGTTTTGTTGTTTTGTTTTAAGACATAGTCTTGATATGTTGTCTAGGCTTATCATGAATTCCATGAACTCCTGGACTTCAAGTGATCCTCCTGCCCCAGCCTTCCAAAAAACTTTAATTACAGGTTTATGCCACCATGCTCAACAACTTTATACTTTGGTTTTTGGTATTAATTAAAATTTGTATTTGGAGTCTCATCCACAATTTATATAAGTCATGAAAATAGAAAACATCACAAAATAATATTTAAATATAAGATAAGAGCACAGTATGTCATGTTTCAATAAATATAATTCAATTTTTTGAACTATTTTCAGGCTGATTGTATTCTAAGTTATTAAAATTTTTATATGTAATGATGCAATGAGAAAGTATGTGATACCCTTGGGCATAATATTCAAATATATAAAATATGTAATATTTATCACATCTATTAAGTCATGTTTACCTGGAAAAAGGCAAAGAAAAATAATAACCTTTTTGAAGATATGTCAAACTTCCTGAAGATATAACTAACTTAATACATTAAAAATCTTAGTAATAAATTGCTAGGCTTTCTGTTACTTTGTTCTTCCAGTGAAAAGGTATTTGTGGTAAAGGGTGACTAACAAGTGGTCTTCTAAAGATATTTAGCAATCAAAATGGAAACTGAATTCATGTTATTCCCTAAGTGATAATGTGCCAAATGTTTACATTAAAATAATTTATTAAACTGTCAGTCATGAATATGTTTCATATATATATATATAATATGTATATTATACATATATATATAATTTTGTGTGTATTACATATGATGTTACTACATTTTATGCAATACTATGTTGTAAAATATTCTAACTTTCACTTTATAAGGAATTTGAAATAATTAAAATAATTTTAAATCATCATGAATGACACATCAAGATACTGGGCCAACTGAACAATAACCCCTGCTTGGTCTATGCTGTCCTTAGCCATGAAACAACATTCTAGGAAGAAGAGTACTATATCATACAAGGTTCTTCCTTCATAATGTGATTACCATAATACTACTTGCTGTAACTTGTGTTGTACTTTATGTTTAATTCCGTAGAAAGAAATTATTTCTAACTTACAAAAGACTACAAAGCCTGAGAAAGCCTCTCTGATTTATTGTTATCTATTATTTCCTTAACCATTGACTATAGGGGGGTTAAGGATAACCTTGCCCAGCATTGATTTTTTTCTTTTATCGTTAATTGATTAAACCATACACTACCTTCTTGGTCCTTATTCTACCATTTTGTATTTGCTACATTTTATACACATGAGTTAGCACTGTGGCTTAGTCACAGACTACTTGCCTAAACTCTATGAAATCTTGTGTTTCTTACCAAGCATCACCAAAAAGAAAAAAAAAGGAAAAATAATTCTTACCATTGGTCATCCTAATCATTATAGGACACCAGTTTTCTTTAAAGTAAATTTACAGTGGTTCAAAGAGCTCAGGAAGGAAGTAACTTCTCACTAAATGTTTCCTAGTTATGATTTTATATCAATGTTCAATAGATACATCTGATTGACAATTTCAATACCAAAGCTTCAAAAGTATTTGTTTAGTCCAGTTTTTAATTAATCCATTGATAATATTGCTTTTAAAACTACTTAAATAAATAAATAATAAACTTTGAATAGTTATGGCAAACACTCCCAAAGAAACAAGTTATGATACTAAAATTCATAATATATGGGGAAATAGAGCATGTTTTCCAATTTAAAAAATTCCCATGGTGCCCTCTCCCTGTTGATAGTTACATTTTAAAGGATATCAACTCAAACATATGTTGTAGTTTTACCCTTGGAAACCTAATGGTTTTAGTACTTTATACTTTGAGATTATTCATCAAGATATTGAAAACTCTGAGACCCGGTTCATTACAACTGGAGTTTCTCTGAGGTGGCCTGTTAGAAGACCACATCATTCACTTAACAAATGTAAAATGACATAAAAGTCATCAGATTTCTTTTTTTTTTCACACGAAAACCAAAGTGGAGGAACCCTAAGAGCAAACTAGGCTTCACAAGCAAATGAATCTTTCTGAGTTTCTATAGTAAACTCTAGATACGTATAAATGTTAATGTCTTGGTCCATTGGCTAGGACCATCTGAACCACAGAGAGCATATTGCAAATGCAGACTCTAGAGTCAGTTACGGCCCTACTAACTCAAAGTCTTTACCAAGGTCTTTGGGTGACTTGTACCCATAATAAAGTTTGAAAGGGACTGATCCAATGACACTTTACTACCAATCCAGAGATCTAGTAGTTGGAGATTGTGCAAAAATTGAATACTTGGCTTGGGTGGCAAGTTCATATATCAGTTCCTAAAGTTTCTCTTTACTTTTCTTTTCCTTTTTTTCATGCTTTGCTTTAAAAATCTGAGTTTTTCTTGGCATGCTTTGAATTTAAACAATTTTCTTCACAAAATTTCTGTTCATGTGTTTGCAATGTATAGTGCAATAATTAGTCAGACCATCACAGTGTATGTGATTGTTTACTAGTATGTTTTTGCTAACTGCCTTCTTTCTCATTTTCAGTCCGAACATTGCCCTCCCTGAGGAGCAGCCACATTCCAGCTCACAGTGTGCTCCTCTGCATTGTCTCACCAAGCCTCCTTACCCCTAGTCTTCATCTCTCATGAATGGGTATCTGGGCTGAAGATTTTGTAGCCACACTGAGGACACTGCCTGAGATCTAGCAGGTGTTGTCTTCTTGGAGATTAAAATTACATATGTATTACAGTCCATCATTTTTGAAGAGGAGAGAGTTCAGAAGAATAAAATGATGTGTTGAACCTGGTGTGATCAATTTATGGCTTCTCTGAATTGAAGATGACCTGCAATCAAATGGCAATAGTTCTTTTGAAATTTAAATGAAACATGTATCTCAGATATCTGGCTTTACCTCCACAGCATAAAAGAGATCCAAGACAATGTAAAATAGATACGTTATAAAATCATCTTTCCCTATACTTCAAAGTCAGCCATAGAAGTTGATTCCAATATTTTTCAATGATATTTATTTTATATTTTATTTGCTATATGGTTTGTGTTTATAAAGATAATTTCTGTAAGCAGAATTCATTTATTTTTAAGTAGTCATAGTGTGCTCAGTTTAATTTAGTTTAAAATTTGGAACTGGCAAGATTATGGTCCTTCTACTTGTAGAAAATTACAAATGAGGTGCATCAGAATGTTAACAACAACTGTTTTTGCTGCTTCATGGATATTCTTTATGTGGTTATTTTCTAATTAGTAACTCAATTGCTAGTTTTTTAAACTAGAGTTCTTCACTGGACATTTATTAAGTAAATCTAAGAAAGAGGCAAAGATATGATTCATTGACTTAATCAAGTTTTGATTGTATCTTTAATTATTTAAATTGCAATTGAGTAGATACATTGGTGCTGCTACTGTGTGATTGTGTGTATGTGTGTATGTGTGGTCGTATTAAAGAAGGGCAAATTACTTGAAGGAGAGAAATGGTGTGTTTATTTAATGACCACAAATTTTTTTAAACTTTTTCCAAATTTAGGTTCTTACTATGTGTTTCCCACTAAAAGGGATAACAATAAATGCAAAAATATATACATATATAGCTGTAAGGTAGCTGTGGCTTGTTAATTTATGCAGAAAGTGTATGTTTTTGTTGTTTCCTTCACAATGAATCTTTCTTGCCAAAAAAATAAATAATAAACCTTAGCTCATTGTCTACTTTTGACAAACACTCAGGTGCCTACAGTCATATTATATTGAGATTAAGACATGTTCTCATTTAATTTACAGATTCTGCTAGGTAACTTTTATGACTTTATTTAAGGCAATAGAATTTCATAGAAAATTTTAGTTTTTGCATTATTGAGAAAACAAGGACAGCAGCTATTTGAGCTGTAAGGTCTAACTTGGATTCCTCAGTTTTCAAGTGCTGCCCACATAATTGCGCCTAACCCTGACTCGTTGTCCTTGTCAGGTAGCCTTAACTTACATAAAACCATAAAGGTTTTACTTTTTCATGTAACAGTGTCTTTAACTTCTCTTCCAAACAAAACTGGCCCTCACTGTTAGCAAAAAAGATGACTAGCCCTATAGGAAGACAACAGATATGTTGGAGCTGCCCAGCTTGTGGCTCGAAAGTGGTGGCACATTTATCAAGCACTCCATCAAAGGTCAGCAGTCAGTCACAAAGCACATTGCAGGAACTTTGTTTTTATGTTATGTTCCTGTTGAGTAGCAGTCATGGTTACCAAAGCAACCCAAAAATTTTGTGTTTCTTATCTGAATGATGTTTTCGTGTCATTTCTTATGCAACCTGGAGTAAAAGTTGAAATACTTGCCAAAATTTAGGGATGCAGGTAAAGTACAGTGACACACAAAACAGCCCCTGATGGGAGTCCTAGTCAATCAGAATCCCCACATAGTTGCACCTGCCTGAATTGCTTTCTTGTTCTTGTATTTCTCCTCATTTATTGGTGTTAAATCTGCCTGGTGCCAATATTAGTGAGACAGTATAGATATTCATTAGAGTTCAGTTAAAGACAACTTCCTCTGTTTTTTTTTTTTTTCTTTTTACCTTTTCCTAAGCATGAGTTGAAACCGAAGATATGTCATAGTTACTAAGTTGACTTTGACCTAAGGGATAACATGCCTTTTAAATAAATACCCCAGAATGAGTTGTGTCTTTGGATCGGGAACTCAACAATGGATCTCTTTTCTGTGTAACCACTGTTGACATAGCTGCATTGAATTCGTGTATAAAGTTGATTACTTCCACTATGAAATTTATCAATAAGTCTGATATAAACCAGTTTTATTTTAGTTGCTTATTTTAATAAAGTAGAAAATGTTTGTTTTGAAATATTAATTCTATAAAATATTAATGTTAAAAGAACTTTGCCCAGAAGATATATAGACCTTGAAATGAATTTCTTATTTTTAGCACAAAAGTAGGTGGTACTCTCTAAGCAGCAAGAGATTTATTTATCTCATACCACATCATTTAGCTGAGCCATATCGATATTTATTTACAGACTTTTTCAATAAATAAATGCAGAGTGCTGGTAAAAATGAATACTTGTAAAGATAATATTGGGATGTAAAAAGAAACTGAAAAAGTGAAAAACTAATGAAAAAAACCATGAATCTCAGTAAGAATAATTGAAGGTGTATTGTATTTGATATTAAAATATAAACGATAGAAACACTACAAATGCTAATTGTTGTAAACATTTTGAACAAAGATGAGAGGTTATGCCCAAAATTAGTTAGCCAAAATAACCAACTATTATAAAATTTTTCATTGCATCTTACTGTGTGTGTGTGTGTGTGTGTGTGTGTGTGTGTGTGTGTGTGTGCGCGCGCGCGCGTGCGCATGTACACACATGCATGGCCATAGCATGTGTGGGAAAGTTGGAGGAAAACCTGCAGGGATTGCTTCTCTCCCACAACTATTTGGGTCCCAAGGATTGAATTCAGATTATCAGGCCAAGTGGAAGGCATACTCATCTGCTGAGCCGTCTTACTTTAATCCACATTTTTTTTAAATGTAAGCACAATTACAAAACTAAATAGAAGAATTAGTGTAGAAATGGTTTCCCACTTGGGATTTTTCATTAACACATAATATTAAAATAAAAAAGGCAATGAATTGTGTTTGACCTAAGTGTTTAGAAGCATAAAAAAAGTTTGGATACATAAACCTTTTGCATATCTAATTCTGGATGAAAAAGAAAGAGGAGGAGGTAAAAGGAATTTTGAAAACTTCTAGAAAATATAAATTTATTAAGGAATGAAGAAAAGACTTATTTTGAAGTTATACTTTATATATGCTTAAAGTAGAGGAGGTACAATAATGAGGTCCAACAAAAAGAACTTAACAAATGACAGAGATCAGTTACAGATCCCATAAGACTAAATGTAAAGGGTTAGCATTACCTGTAGGAAAGAGATTTTTAATAGTGGAAAATTAATCATTGGATTATAAGGATTTGTGTTTAAAAATGGTAGTCTTAAGTATAGCCAATTTGCAATAATGTTTTTCTAGGAGCCCACAACTCTATGATTTTCTGTTTTAAAGTCTAAAATATATTTAATTTTTACTGATTGGTCATGAAATATTTTTACTTTTGAACTAGGATAACAGCCTTAATTTTCTAAGGTATTTATTATTTTGTAAAAGGAGTTCTTCAAAGTTGTCTGGATTATAACAACTTCACTTTAGAGAACTTCAGTGTCAGAGTCTAAAAAGCAAATATCCTTAAGAAAGCTTCATAAGTAGAAGGTATGCAATCTCTGATAGATAAATACTTCTTAAATTTTATTTACTCACAAAGATTTTCTGTCTTTAACATTTGCTTTATCTATGCTGTAGAACATGTTCTTGTACAGATAAGTCCTTCTCTATTAAATAAGCATGAACAATTGGTCTATTAAACTAGCTAAGAATGTGGATATTCCCTCATACACTATATTGAATAAAATCCTCTCCAGTAACTAAGCACAGATTACAAATAATGGTATGAATAAATCAAATATATTTTCTACTGTGATAAATGTCAACTTGTATTAGTCAATCAAAAGATTTAATCTTTCTTATGAAGAAATCAGTGGGCAATAATGGGGTGTGTCTCGGCAAAGGGGTGCTTGCTGGACCTGTGTGAGACCATGGGTAGCATCCACTGTACTGCAAAACAAACAAACCCTAAAAAAAATTGATGGATTTCCCCCATAGAATCCTGTTCATTCAATCCAAGGATGTCACTAATGAATTGATACTGTACATATACGTAAATTTGTAAAGTCCACAATGTTTAAAACTTTTGTTTTTTTAATAAATCAGATTGATTTAAAATAATAGTTTGCATGAAGGCTGCAAAATTTATGTTTTCAAATAAAGCAAAAAGCTGCCGAACTGAAGTCATGCTAGTCAGCATGACCAGTGCCAATGTTGAGAAATAAGTACGTACTTCAAAATTAGTGTCCTAGCTCCTAAGTGATCATTTTCATTTTCAGCAATAATAACCCAAGATGAGTTGTCTGAAATTAAATTCATCTTTATGTAAATGCCATTTAGCTACCATAGTCCCTGATACATTGTTCTTTTATTTAAATACCTGAACAACTTCAATTGAGACACCTCTTTCATTTTGTTACTCAAGATTTTAATTAAAGAGATAATTTGTATGAAAATATGCTCCCTGATTTGGGACTTTTTCAGAACTGACAATCTGTTTATGAGGAGGCCCAAGCAATTAACTTCTGTTATTGTAGGCAAAAATATAAGATGTTTGCATGAAATATTCACATCATGTAAGCTTTCCCATATCCATAACATGGATTCTACATAGAAAACTTACTCCTATCGTGATCTCTTCATTAGGAATGCAAGGAGGCTGTTACATGCATTGGATCTCCTTTCCATACTGAAATGCATGGCTTTATCCTTTGAGTGTATTTTTACACCTCTCAGCTGAAGTTGTTTAACAATCTGCCACATATGAACTGAAGCTTAAATGACTTGCTGAACCAGATGATTTCTGAGATTGGAATTTAATTGCTCCACAATGCTTGTTGGGGATTTCTGTTTATTCTAACTACCTTCATTATCAGTCACTGCTCATAACTCTGAGACCACTGAGAAGCAAATTTGATACTTCTTAGTGTGGATGTATGCTTTTTATTTAAAAATTCATTTTAAGAGGGAGGGGGAACTGGGGCTGGTATGTAAAATGAAAATATCAGAAAGCTATGAAGTTAAGGGCAATGACACCACTGTGTTGACCAATATTTATCTGTAATGGAGAAATAGAAGGGATTATTGGGGCAGTGGTGGCACACACCTTTAATCCCAGCACTTGGGAAGCAGAGGCAGACAGATCTCTGAGTTTGAGGCCAGCCTGGTCTACAGAAGGAATCATTGGGTTCATAGCTATTATTGTGTGGCAAATCAGAGGACATACTTTTTAATTTTATTGCCACAGATCTTTTAAGCTCAATGGTTTGACTGTTAGAGTCAATTAAAACAATTTTTTGAAAATATTTTTATGACATTTTTGTATTATATTCAATGTTTTTGTTTGCATGGCTATGCATATATGAAGACATGATTCTGATGGTGTGTTTCTTTCCCATGTTAAAATTTGTGTTGTGTGTGGTCAAGCCTAATTTCTACATTGTATGATTATTCTTGTAATGATTCAGTTATTCCTACCTTTATTATTATGCCTTTGGGGCTTAAATGACATGAAGTGTTTCTATCTAGTAATAATAATACCATGTGAAAACATGACTAAAATACTAATTTAAGAAATGCCTTTCTTGCTATTTAAAAATCCAAAAACCAGAGACATTATCAAAGACACATGCATTTGTGTTAGCTTTAGAAAGTTCTTATGAATTTATTGTTTGATTTTTTTTAACTTTTTGTTGTAGATAATCCCAAGTGAATTCACAAAGGAGACTCCATATGGCATATGCTTGTTTCTGTGATCTGATCATGCACTTAGTAGTTATGGAAGGCCCTCCATTGCTAAGGAAATAACTGGATACTAATAATTATTACCTTGGTTTATCTTAACAATTGACCGCATTGTAATGCAAATTTATTTTTACAGTAAATAAACTGATTATCTTTTGTTCATTTCATCAATGCTAAATTTTTATTAGTTTAAAATATTTCTGTATGCCATTTTCATTTATACTTACAAAAAATAAAACCTCTATATGATATATATTTTTATCCACTATAAGACCTTATTTAAAGAAAAAATGTAATGTTTTGCCTTAACATTTCTACACACTCTTGTTAAGTGATGTGTATCAACTTTATTTTCCCCTTTTCCTACTCATTAATTAAGGGTGTCTTGGCAGGAAGACACACTTAGCTGAATTCAAGCAGAAATGTATTGATTCAGGAAACACTGTTTTAATGAAAGGATAATGAAGCTTTATGTTGGGAGGTAATCCTTTTTTTCTTTGACATAAGAGCTCAGTCATCAAACTTAAGGGAGGTCACTTTTACTGGGTACAATATAAGTGATAGTAAACCAGCTGCTCTGGGAATCATCTGTTTTGATTCTGCTTCATTTTACAGGGTGCAGGGGGAAAACAGGCAAGCATGGGTCTATGTGAGGTGCTAATGAGTAAAAATGAAATTCTTCATATAAATGATCAAATTTAAGGGCCTGGCTAAGGTTGCCTCTTCTCCTTTGGAACAGAAAACATTAGAAAAAATGTCTTAAAAAATCTCTCCCTCTTCTAAAAACTACTGTTTTTGCTTTTGTTTTAGGAGGTTGGACCCACAAGTATATATGATACTTGGCTTTTTCTTATGTAATAACACCAATAGTTTGTCACATTCCTGAAGCTTAAATAATTGGACCAGCCTTCTAAACATCAAGAAAATCTCTTTTAATCCAGGTACATTGTCACATCCCTGTCACAGTTATTTGGAGGGGTGGAGGCAGGAGGAGCAGGAAGATCACTTGAGTTCATGAGTGTAAGGCCAGAAAGACCTTGCCTCAAGAAGACAAAAGAAGTATTTTTTCACCTCTGCATTTTACAGACAGCTTGTAATATGGAGTATCCCCAGAATCCCAAATACTTAGAAAAGTCCAGAATGTATTGGAATTGGACACACGTTTCTTAATATTTGGTGCTACAATGCACTGTAGGAGTTACAGTGATTATCATCTGAAAAATGAATCCTTTGCCTCTATGCTCTCCAGCTTTTCTTACAGGACTTAGTAGATAGTCATGTCCCATAGTTATAATCACTAGACACTAAGACTTTAACGAGGAGTTATTGTTATCATGCCTTCCTGATGAGTCAAAATACCAGATTTCAAACATCATATTAAACTTTTGTTTCATGTGTGCATGAATTCCTCTGATAGAATTGCTTCTTAAATAATTTATGGATTAATCATACTTGAATGGCTAACAGAACCTCAGATATTTAATTCACAATATAACTGCTGAAAAAGATAAATCTCACTGGCAGAGCTTAAGTATCAAAAGTAAAATGATGTTTAATATAACTGAATTGTAGAGGACAGTATAAAAATAAAATAAATCAACCATGATAGCAGATTGTTATAATAAAAGTTACAACAAAAATACTTAATTTTCTTTAATACCCATGTTTGTAGGACATACAAGAAGGATACTTTTATAACCTCACCTCTGTTAGTACAAAAGTCAATTGGGAGTGACTATAAACATTCATACAGAAGTCTGTCTCACGTTGTACAACAGGACTGTTAATATAATATGGGAAAGCAAGTATGAAAAGAAAAATGTGGACTTTCTTATTCAAAGATAGTTTCAGGGCAGTGACAGCAGGTCATTAAAGCAACCAAGAAGCCCTAATGAATCCAGAATGCTGTATGGCACTGTCCAGAGCATGCTGAAATAGTGACTTTAAAATGCAATACTGATTTTCAATTTCTGAAGTTGAAGAAAATATTCTAGAGAAAATGTAATAGTAGCACATCAAGCTCTTGGTCTGTCATGTAAAGTCCCCGAGTCCCAGCCTACTTATGGCAAAAAGTTTTAGGTCCCATCTTATAATGCTTCATTTTCCATGCAGGTGTAACATTTCAAATCGAAAGTTTATAAATTCTGATACATGTATCATAGTATGCTGAAATTATAGAAATTCTGAGAGATAATAGAAATCTTCAGAGACAGTACACATTTTAATAACTGCTGAAATTTTTGTATTGTGACTTCTTCATTGTTGCTGGTTATTAGTATTGTCACAGAAAATTTGACTTAAACTATTAGCTTGATTGATGAGTTTATACCACAAAGTTTCAAAGGGAAGAAAAAAGTATTTACATTGAGTGTGCTGTGATTTCATGTATGGCAAAAATTTAAAAGGATGTGAATTTTTTCTCATTTTTGAAATAGACATAGAGAAATGTATATCTGTTAAAGAGCAAAGGATACAATGGAAGGGGACTAACTTGAAGCCTGGCTCTTTAATAGGTGAATAGCTTTTATGTGTTTTGCTTTATAAGTTATGGAAAAATACCATCTATTAAAAATATGCCCACCAACTGCTAATTGAAATGAAAGTGAAAGATTAGGGGTTAGGGCTAGGGTTATGAGGTTAAAGTTAGGATTAGGGGTTAGGCTTGGCGGGTCAGGGTTAGGAGTTGAGTTAGGAATCTTTACTTTTGTATGTTCATGATTATTTATCTAAAGTAAATAGACATTTATTCACAAACCCCTAGGAAAAGTCACTGTAACTATATCACAAATATTGGAGAATACTTAGAATGGTATTCAATGTGGAGATAGTGTATAAAGTTTCCTTGAAGAGAATAAGTATTCAGAAAACTGGGTCTGGTGTATATAAGATCTTTAATAAGATCATAGGACAAAACTTTCCCAAACTAAGGAAAGACATACTCATACAAGTAGCGCACAGAACACCAAAAACATGAGACCAACCTAAACTAATATATTCAAGACAATTATCTGCCATGATTGAAGCAGTGTGTGTGTGTGTGTGTGTGTGTGTGTGTGTAGATAGATGATAGGTAGGTAGGTGGGTAGGTAGGTAGATAGATAGATAGATAGATAGATAGATAGATAATCTCCAACAAGCCTAAAGAAAATACAGGAAACATTATTTCAGGTTTAAGAGGAAATGAACTTAGTAGAGAGGCTGTGGAAAGAAATGAGAAGCCACAGTTATTAAAACACAAAATACCACTGAGAACAAAAACACCACCACCCAAAAATCAACAACATGATAAGCACAACTGATATACACATTTTCATAGTAAATTTAAGTATCTGTAGCTTCAATTCTCCAATCAAAAGATACAGGCTGACTGAATGAATCAAGAGACAGAAATCCCTTGATCAGTTTTCTAATACACACACACACACACACACACACACACACACACACACCACACTTACTTTAGTTTTAAATATAGGCACTGTCTTAAAGTAAAAGAATGGACTAAAGTATTCAAATGAACCATGAATGAAGCAGTAATCATTATACTAATATCTGACAACATAGACATCAAACTAAAAGTCATCAGAAAAGATAAGAGACACTTCATCCCAATTAAGTGAACAGCTAGCCAAGCGGACATTACTATCCTAACATATATGCATCAAACACTGAGGTGCCCAATTTAATAAAAAAAAATCTATCACTGGATTTAAAGACATAGATTAACATCAATCCATTAATAGTATGTAATTTTGATATACCACTTTCTACTATAGACAGGTCATCTGAACAAAAAATCGAGAAAAATCACAATTAATTGACATCGACATCATACATCAAACTGATGTGGCAGATATTGACTGAATATTCTACTCAAACAGCAAAGAACACATTCTACTCAGCAGTGCATGAAAATTATTCTTTTTTAGTGGGTGGGGTGTTGAGACAGGGTTTTTCTGTGTAGCTTTGGAGCCTATCCTGGAACTCACTCTGTAGACCAGATCCTCAAGAAAGTTATTCTTAAATAGACCACATGTTTACAAACCAAATTTTTACAAATTCAAAAGGAGATTGAAATCCCTCTTTGTATCCTATCTGAACACAATGCAATAAAACTTAAGATTGACAGATTAAACAATTCATTACTGAATAATGAATGGGCCAAAAAAGAAATCAAGTAAGAAATTTTAAAAATTCCTGGAACTAAATTAAAATGAAAATACAATACAACTAAACCTCTAGGACACATTGAAAACAGTACAAGGGAGATTTACAGCTCCTAATGCCACCATTAAAAACTCCGAAAGACTTTTGAGTGCCATCTGTGTCCACCATTAATTCAGTCCCAGGTGAACCGCCAGTTCCTGGCCATGGTGTCTTCCAGGCCAGGGCTGCTACAGAAGTCGATGTCTGGATCCATGACCCTACAGCAGCCAGGGTTTGGGTTGATGTCTGGATCTCCTGTTGTCACCAAGTGTCATGTGGATGACCAGGGTCTGGTAGGCCACCTTCGACCATGTTGGTATCTGAGGACTGTGCTGCACCTAGGTCCATGCTGATTGGGGTGGCTGGTGCTGGCACCTGGAGCCATGGAGGCATCCAAACACATACCACCACCTAGGGCCATGTCTGGTTCTGTGGCCCTGTAGAGGCCAGGGTCTTATGTGGACTCTACTGATCCAGTGGCCACCAAGGGCTCTACAGATGCCCAGGGTCTAGCCAGCCACCTAGAACCACGTTGGTACACAGGGGCCATGCTGCCACCAGGGCTTTGCTGATCTGAGTGACCTGTGCTTCCACCAGGCCATAATGACATCAGGCCTTGAGTTGCTGCTAAGGGCCATGTCTGGGGCCATGGTCCTGATACAACTGAGGTCTGTGGTGATGTCTATGCTCCATGTTATCAGGGGTTATTGGAACCATACTGTGCTGGGCTGGCCCCACCCTCACGGGCCATGGGATGGCTGGTCCCACCCCTTGATGGATACTGTAGCAGGCGAGCTGGTCCTACCCATCAGAGGAGAGAGAATTCTCTCCTGCACTCACACTCAGGAAAGATGGCCCATCCCTCACTATAGACATGCACCACTAGCTACAGCACACAGAAGAGCAGGTCCTGCAACCCCACCTGGGCAGCACACTAGAGCTGACCCTGTGGTTGGGGACATAAGCGAGTCAGCCCTGAGGGTAGGAGCAACAGAACTGATATCCTCCATAGCCCATCAGCCATGTGGTGGCATGGGTGAGGGGAAGATTCCCTCACAACTCTATACCTTGCTACCTGTGACAGACAAGAGAGCTGGCCCCAGGGTCATGAGAGTTAGAGAACTAGTCCTATCTCACAGTAGCTACAGCACACAAGAGAGCAGGCCCTGCACCCCACCTAGGCAGCACACTAGAGCTGCCCTTATTGTGGGTGTTGCAGGTGAGCCAGCCCTGAGGTCATGAGAGCAGGAGTGCTGACACCCTCTTATACCCCCTACAGCATTCAGGAGAGAGGACCCTGCACCTTGCCTGGGAAAAAACGGTAGAGCTAGCCCTGGCAATATGAGTGAAGGAGACCAAGATCTGAAGGCCCAAGAACAGGAGAACTGGGCCTGCTCCTTGCTGTAGGCTACATTGGTTGAGCTAGCTGAGGCAGTACTGGGGAGCTCATCCATGCAGTGATGATGAGGGAAAGCTAGCAAGCTAATCAAATCAGCTACCAGCCCACCCCAACATCCACCTAATCTATGAACTGCTGGAGCATATGAAGGGGATGAACCTACAGATTCAAAACTGCAGGATCTTTAAGACACGGGAAAACAGGATATCCAAGAGGAGCCCCAGTGAGACCCCATTATGGGTGGTATAGCAGAAACCAGAGGCATCCTCGGCAATGAACACTTGCAAGTAAAGATGAATGTGTTTACCTTTAGGGTAAACTGTGTGTTTCAAGGGGGCACACTACAGCTTCCACAAGATTCTTTCCTTCCTTCCTTCCTTCCTTTCTTCCTTCTTTCTTCTTCTCCTTCCTCCCCTCTCCTCCTCCCATTCTTCCTTCCCTTCCTCCTTTCCTCTTATAAACCTGGTACATTTGCATCAGTGAGTCTGTCTCCCTGGTGGTCTTTGGGGATCTTCCTGACTTGGGCATAACAGTGACAACCAGGTTAAAAGTGCCTTCAGTTCATCTGACCTTAGCATGAAGCCACAGAACAAACATATCCTTTTGTGTCTTTAAATCTCCCTTTTATTGTTAATATTCCGGGCACCCTTCCACATGTGGAACAGGGAGGGACTCACTCCACTCCACATAGTATATTGGGCTGTGCAAGCTAGCTAGCTACAGTATGTCCAGGAAGAAGAAAGGTAAGTCCCTATGGAATGCAGGAACATAACAGGGTCTGCTGTTGGAGCCAGGGGCAAGTGCTATTGAAATGCATATCTTTGCAAATCTAGAAAAGGCCTTGGGGGTGGAAGGCAGGTTCAGGAACCACAGCATAACCACAGCATAACCTTATGGGAGGTGCTCTTGTCACTCAGTCCTCACTGGCCAATCAGGCCCTCCAGACGACCTGCCAGTCAGATGTGGTGCAGGGCCCTTCCGGTGCCGGATTCAGGCGTGGCTTTGAAGAGCTTCGGGTTTCACGGGTGACTTTCCAGAGGAGCTGCCGGTTTCAGGGGTGACTTTCAAGAGGAGCTCCCAGCTTCAGGAGTGGCTTTGAAGAGGAACTGCCGCCAGCGTTTCTGTGTGCTGTGCTGTGATTGCTGCTACAGACAGCTGAGCGGAGAGCATGGGCAAGCTGGGAAACCACAGTATGGTGCGCAAGGGGCTCCTGTTCCGGATGGGGAGGTGTGGGAGCTGGTGTGGTGGGTTCCCCGGATCTGGATGGAAACCTGCAGTCAGATTTTCTATCCTGTGAGGTCCCATGTGATCCTTGAAACTCCTTGAACCCAGGAGCAGACTTGCTCTGTGGGCTGAATCTGCTTAGAGCACTGGGAGCAGAAAATTGTGTGCAGAAACATCTTTCTAGTCAACATGCTTTTGATGCATCCATGGAAAGTAGATTTCCAAACTCCGAGAGGCTTAATTTCTCCAGTACCTTCTAGACAGTAAGCACTTTGTGTTTAACCTGTAAGTTCCATTTATAGTCAATTTTGTGGATGTTGTAAAAGGCATCTTATGTTGTGTATCACTCTAATACTATGCCGTTATGTAGAAGAGTAGAATTGGTGATATAAAGGATTTACTAATGCTTAGGAGATAGTGAGTATCACAAAGTAGAATTTAGGTGAGGGAGGACTTAGGACCTAGGTTGTTACTAGCTCTGCCAAGAATGTCCCTCCTACCTGCCTGAGGGCTTAAATGAAAGCCTTGAATGATTAAGCAAGTCACCTGGTGTCATATTGCCCATCTGGCAGACCTATGCTTTTCTCAAGAAGAAAACTGGAGCTTTATGGCTCACCAGGCCCTAAGGTTGGTTGTGACCCTGTAATGCCTTCCTCCTTGAGCAGCTTGTTAGAGGCATTTTCTTTCATTTAGGTTTGGGCCTAGAGGCTGGTTATAAATCAGGGTGGCTCCTTTGTAATGGTTTGGAGTCAAACATCTGGACAATCCTGGTGAACAAAGGTGTATACTAGCATCCTAATCTGTAACAGGCCTGGTTAGCATATACCAATCTTTGGGGTGTTTTAGAGGCTAGGCCTTGAGAGCTTTTCCTAAGGGCCTGACATTGACAATAAAGCAGAGCTTCTTTTTCAAAACCAGGAAAATGCATGGGAGCAATGGTAATGGTCTGGGGCCAGGGCCTTTGTGGAGAGGTTGCTTCAGATCCTGAGATCCCCAACTCTTCCCATCATATGGAGCTATGGTTATCAGTCCCAAAGCCACTGTGGACTTAATTAATAATGTTCTTTTTTTTCTCCCAGATTTTTTTTAAATAATTTTTTTATTAGTTCAAATTAGGAACAAGCTTGTTTCACATGTCAATCCCTTCTCCCTCTCCCTCCCTTCATCCCTACCCCTCCTCCCCCACCCCATCGACCCTCCACTCCCCAGGCAGGGTAGGGC